CCAAACCAGTGCTTGGGATTTCCCAGTTAAATGCAAAAGGGCTTTCCCAACTGTCCTACCAATTACAGGAAGCTCTCTAATATCTCTCTCTCTCTCCCATACATCTACACACACCACCCCAGTGCCCTGAACTGAGCTATTAGCGTGGTCTTTTGCATGTGTGTCTGCAGAATGCTGGCCGGCCGGCCAGCCAATGGACTGAGACAGAAATCGGCGCTCTCCTCTCTGATGTTTTATTCCCACCGCTCACGATCGGAGAAACGATAAATGCAGTTTGCCACTGATGATGTTCATTGTAACCTCGCACCGCACCTCAGCTCAACCCGCACCAGCCTCGCGTCGATGAGGGCCGAGCACACATGCTATGTTTTATGCAAGGCCTGATCCTGCACAACATCATTGTGCAAGGATGGAATTAGAGCAGCAGCCAGAGGCTAAACAGCTGAATGGTTTAAATGATGGTTTAACTCGCCACCTCCTTAAAGCATGAGATCAATTATTAAAACTACTGAATATTAGTAAAGAAATTGGAGCTGAGGCAGAGTAATATTTTGATATTATGTGTATATTGGGTTATCGGAGATATTGTTTCATTGTGGCTTAAGTGCTGTCTTACCAGCCTGTTAGCAGTCCATCAATCTATCCTAATGAATATTTATCAAAAATCTCACAGTTTGCAAAAACCCCAAACGTTAAACTTATCACAACACCAACGTGGAGGTTTTTTGTCAAAATGTTAATGTGATTTTAGATTTTCCCCATATTACTAAACGCTAACTGAATTCTGATTCTGTAACTACTATTCATTGCTTCAGCAGATGATTCATGAAAGAGAACGCGGGAAGAAGAAAAACAATACCAGTCATGCTCATGTCTCGCTTGTCAGTCATTGAAATTTGGAACATTTTCATGACCATGATATTTATATCTGATATGGAGAGGAATAATGAGCATTTTCAGAATCCCGCAAAATTGTTTTCTGTTTTCATTTTACTAAAGTGTTTTTTGACTTTAACCCTAAATTGAACCGTATCCTCCTATGGATGAAGGTCAAAGAGATCATCTATGATTCATTAAACCCTTTCAAAACTGAAAAGGAGCTGAGACCAAGGCATTCAATCATGTTTAGGCAGACTGGATTTAAAACACAGAAGTGCAGATATACCTGCAGGAGAGGGTGGAGCGCTTTGGATAATGTTTAATTTATTGTAATAACTGCGCACTGACATGAAGAACGTCATCATGCTTCATCATTACCCAAATCCTGCACAGGATGTTAAATCTCATAACTTTGTTCATGACAAAATCTGACATAAACCCTCTGATAAACTGATTCAATGTAATATAATTATAATTATTATCACCTTTCCTCTTTAACTGACCTCTATTGTGAAAGTCAAATCAGCCCTATAGCCTACAGGGGTGTGATGAATGTGCTAATTCAATATAAATGAATTATGAATCTTTTTTATATCACATTAGTTTCTTCTTGTTCGTGTGAATATGTATGTTTAAGACCATATCCAATACATGTAGATTCATTCATTCAATTGAATGAATTAATGCCAATAAATTAGAAGAAAGGATACAATACTTTCTTAACTGAAGGACACGAATAAATGAAGCAGTAACTATGCAGCAATGATTTGACTGATTCAAATCCTCTTTCGTCTTGGATGATTATGTGAAACATGCGCTGCAGTAAAACAACGTGGGGCACTTTTGCGTCGGGTCAGAGTGAACCCCAGTTGTGACTCCTATGGTATCGCTGGTTTATCTCAGCTGACAGACTTTCTGGATCAACGACTGAAACCCACTGGAGCGTCTATTTGCCAAAGTGTGTGTGTGTGTGTGTGCTCGTCTGTCTGTCTGTCCGGCTATCTGACTGAATGTTTGGGAATCTGACCTGCATGTAGAGCAAGTAAAGACATAAGCAGCCTGCAATCCGGTACGTCTAAAAGATACACAGTAGAGGAGAAAGTGGTGCATTCAAGTGTCCAACGTCTGTTGTGGGCATCATACGAGGGAGATCAGGTCCTTGTATTTCAACATTTTTCATCATGTTTTTCAAGGGGTTTTAATTACAGCTTATTTTACAGTTCAGGTCAATTTTTCAGATTAGGACATTTTCTGGTGAAAAAATACTTCTGGAACGTGTCCTGGTCCCTTTTCCCATGCTGTGCACATAGTTATGGCATCAACCAGATCAAACCCTGGCTGAAAAGAAATCTTTAAACGCCTTAACTTCCCATTTAAAGCTGACGAGCAGCGCCCTCTACTGGTTATGTTATTATGGTGCAGTTCATTCATTTCAATTCCATTTCATTTATTTTCTGAAGCCTGAAATCACAAATGCGCCAGCCCTAACTGTAAGCGTTATCAAAGAAGAAAGTCTTAAGCCAACTTTTAAATGTGTCTGTACTGTTTCTGCCCCGCAGACAGAAAGGGGAGCGCAGCTCTCTGGAAGTGCAATATAGCACATAAGCTCCTTACGTGCCCAGAAGTATTTTAAATGATTTTCTTGATTTAACAGAGCAGAGAATCTAATACTGGAGTAATATAAACAGAAAATGGTTAATATTGGGGGGCTCAGGCCTGTTCTTGAAGACTGAAGGCACACAGGACCTACAATTTCCCCACTTTTATTTAACCCCGGGTTCAGTGGACCCCGACACCATGTGTGTAGTAATAAGGCAAGGCCAATAAGTCTGAGTTTGAAAAAATGATGAATCGTATTATTACTGTTTTGATAAAAAAATGAAAACAGGTCTCACAGACCCGAACACTATTCAAGGGTCAAGCCAACTGGGAGAAAACAGAAGACAGAACAAACTCCACATTGAGGATAACACACACTATTTGATGTATTATTAGCTGAGTATGTTTGTTGCAGAATTCTGCTCAGAAGAGTAACTTCCCAATGGACTGAAACCAGGTATTTGCTTTCTGTCCTTTCTGTCCTCAGTAGTCAGGTATTTTCAAGTGGCTTCGAAAAGCCAGCAGATGGCGCTATACCCCATACTTTAAAAAAGGAACGTTAACCACAACCACCATCCCTACTAGAACTCACACTTTTATAAAGCATGACAATGCAGCAGGCCAGTGAGCCACTAAACACACGTTTGATGCCTTATGTGATGGAAATGAACAAAAAATGATGAAAGAAAGAAAGAAATGTTTCCCACATTCCTGGAATAATCCAGGGGGTGTTGCTGTGTGTGTGGAGGGGGTGGAGGATGCATGTCTGATGCCCATTTATGGTCGCTACGTCAACCTGAAGAGCAGCTGACTGACTTGCATACCAAACAACATAACTACGAGCTGTCAGGAAGAGGAGAGAGAGAGTAACAGGCAGCAGAGGGAAGGCCGATAAGCCCGGAAGGAACAGACTCTACAAGTGTAAACTTCTAAGTGGGTGACAGGGAGGAATGGGAAATGTTCTAGCATTTTAAGAGATGTGACCTTCACGTTGTCATTCTGGCCAATGAATTCCACTTGTTCTATTTGCAATATTGGGCTGTTACATGACATGTCATCTTTTATTGTTTTTTCTTTTTCTGTACATTTTCAATCAAATTGCGTCGTTTTTTCCTTCAAAAATGTCTGATGAGTCCAATGAATGATTAAATAATTGAAGTACACTACATGTGGAACTTCCGTTGTGAATATTGATTGACACGGATTCCTCCCCAGACTGTTAATATCCGAAAAAATATTTGAAAAAAAAACAAGTGTGAAGTAAAGATAGGTAAAGAAAGAGGGAGTAGAAAGAGGAATTGACAAATATAAAAAGATAGAGAAACATTTTTTTTTTACAAAATATACATACAGGCGAGATAGAAGAAAGACCGAATAGCAATATCAAACACGGGCCGGCAAGGCGAGAAAGAAGAACCTTGGTCTCTGTTTTCACTCCAGGCACTGCTGCTAAGCACTAAGTTTATAGACCAATAAAAAGTCTGCCGAGCTTCTCGTTCGTGTTAGGATCCAGACTAAACGGTTTCTCCCTGTACCACGCTGGCAGCTGGCAGCTGGATTGGTGTCTTCGTCCGGCATGGGCCGCGTCCGACAGTCTAAACACGGTGCCGTCTACCCAACTGCTGCGGCCGGTTATGATATCATATATCCATATGTGTGACATGTGACAGCTGTTCCCCTTTGTCCGTCCACCTCCTACTTGCATGTTTTTCAGACTGCTCCCCTTACGTCCTTTGTGCGGTTTCACTAGTGGTTATGGCACGTGTAAATGGCGGTCTTCTTCGATGCCACCTGACTTAACTTCGCCATGGCCCGTTTGTTGACGAGCACTCATGTCACCAGGCCGCTTAAAATGCAGCCGGGAACGCAGTATTTCAGACGGATTATCATGTTGTAACACAGAATATCCGGTCATGGTCAAATATTTTGGACACGCCAGTCTGTAAAAAGACAGATCATCATTCAGCAGTTAGAATGCAGAATGCACGCTTAGAATGCAAATCTCCCTTGAGGAGATTATCCGTGCAGATTTGTCTACATCCAGCTGCAAAACTCGTGAAGGTTGGCCATCAACATGACAACTCCAACTCCATCTGAAGGATTTGAGTCCCGGAGTGCGCTGCTCCACGAGATGCTGAATGTCCGTGGTGACGTGCGGTGTAGTCACGGTCAAACCAGGATTGGGAAAGGGACTCTACTTTTTGTTTAGATTGTGTGGAAATAAATCAAACAATGACTGGCAGACTTCTTGTAAATCCCGTCTATTCAGTCGACCATCAGCCATACAGGCATCCATTCCTCGCTGTCCCGTTTAAAGTTGTAGGACATCGCTTTTTTTTTTTTTATAATGATGGAGTGGTTTCTGAGTTTCCCATCTGCCTCTTTAAATGAATCCCTCTCCACTCTCGCAGGGGAAAGGTTCTCAGGGTAGCAGCAGGGACGAGGCGTGTTGGCCACTCCTTTATTATACCGAGACTCCCCCAAGGCTCTATTCCTCTCCGTCTCCCTCTCTTTGGCGTCCTCTCCTCCTCCTTCCCTCTCTCATCTCCGTCACACACGACCTCACTCTCCTCACCTGCAAATCCCTCATCCCTTTGTCTCTCTCGTTAACATCATCACCTGGACATTAATACACCAGTGCTTCTCTCTTGTGTTCTCTCTCTCACACACACACGCACACACACGCACAGACACACACACACGCACACGGACACGCACACACTCTCATCCCATCGCCTCCTGCCGGCAGTGCAGGTCGACGCAGGAGCGGCGGCGGCAGCAGCTGCTCTGACAGATTCTGCAGAGACAAACCCACTGAAAAAGGCAGGAGGAAAGAAGGGAGAAAGGCGGAGGAAAGGGAGGGAGGGAGGGAGGGAGGAGAAGAAGTGGACACAACTCTGTGCGAGAGGACAGCGGAGCAGAAGGCGAGGAGGAAGAGGGGAAGGCGAGCCGAGGGGCGCTGCAGCCATGGCAGACACACCTTTGCAGAGGAACGGCACGGCAACGGCCCCGTAAGTAGTGGCATGTTCTCTTCCTTCCCCTTTTGAAATATTCATTATTATTTCTTATCCATCTCTGCCTCCATCTCCATCCTCGCCTCGCCTGCATCCCTCCACCTCTCGCTCCCCTCCATCTGACAGGGCTGGGTTGCCATGGGAACGGGAGCTCCGTCATGGTGAGGCTGCTGCTCAGTCATGACTGGCGAGGGGACCCGCCGTACATCGTGTGCACTCCTCCCTCCCTCCCTCCCTCTCTTTTCTTTCAGTCACCCTCTCCCTCCCTCTGCAGACCTCCCCACACACATCAGCCCTCCTGGGCTTTACTCGTCCCGCGTGACGTTTCATCTTTCCACCACCTTCTCTCGGTGTCCTCTTGCAGACCTTCTTCATTCACATCCTACCGTGCCTGATGTTAACACCATTCTACGTTATGGAGTGTGCGTGTGTGTGTGCATGCGTGCGTGTGTGTGTGTGTGTGCGAGAGTGGCGGTTTTCAGCATAGCCGGTCGCTGTGTTCTAGCACAGTCCGCCATGCGGCAGAATGGTTCTTCCTGTGTGTCTGTGTTTGAATGCGTGTGTGTGTGGGATCGTCGTGCGTCTCTACTGTTATAGAAACGAGTGCCCATGCATTGAAGAATGAAAATGAAATCAAAACTCACTTACTGGCATTTCATCTGTCTTTTAATCAGGACAGCAGACACACCAACCGAACCTGCGTTCGCATTTGTGGCTTATGGGGACAGAATAACAGCAAGACGTGAAGCAAGAAAACACTGGCTATCATGGAACTCTGGTGGAAATGTTGCTGTTCAAACCCCGTCTGATGCTGACTGTCAAGTCTTTGATGACGTGTCCCAAAAGAACAAAATCAGCAGATTTCCAAAGCAATCTGACATTTCCAGACAAGGACTTGTCATTACTCAAAGGCCCAAAGGGAAAACAATAGAAAGAGAAAAAATGACCGTTGTGTATTTTATGAATATTATGTGACAACCCAAGATATCCTAATGAAATAGCATAGCCGTACTGGCCAAACGGAATAATGTAATGTAACCCTACATGTGAGCGATGGCCTTTCAGAGGAAAGAAGTCCCATTTTCCTGCTGCTTTAAGAGATAGTTGCATGCTGTTTGCAGCCTTGCTAGGCGAGCGATTAGCAGCGTGTGTGCTGCTTAGCTAGTCCGTCATTACACTGTTCAGTTACATTTTAATTTAGGGTTTCCCGCTGACTGGCCAAACAAGCGGATACAAGCTCTCTGTTGGTGTCTTTACCACAGAAATGGAAGTCATTTGTCTAGTGACGCTGGATATGACCTAAACCAGGGCAGGTGTCAAGGTCGGTGAAAGAGGGCGAGACCCCGGATGACAGTCTGACATATGTTAGACGCACTTTTAGTAAAGGGCTTTTGTTGTGTGTGTGCCTTTGGGCACGGGCACTAACCAACACATCTGGTAGATGTGTTATATATTTGGCAAACCCCCCTCGGGTCCAAATGAAGAACAGGGCACCAGTGTTGAATTTGGATGATACCATCGGTCCATCCGGGTGCAGATTGGCGGATGCAGGCTTGTAAGCCGGTTCGAGTGATAAACAACCCAGAAGCTCAGAGTCTAGATCAGCTGACGAAACGTCAGTCCGAGTGACAGGGCGTAGTGATTTTTTTGTCTCTCGGGGCCGCGACACCGAAGATGTGCAGGGACGCATGAAGGGGAGGTGCTTTCCTGGTGAATTAATAGTTCATGTTTTAATTGGGAAAATGAGACGCGGCTGTAAGGATTCAGTCGGTCCATCACATCTATATCGCCTCTTCCCTCGGCCATATGCAGCGTGCTCTCTCTCTGTCTGTTTGCTGAATCAGCAGAAAGGCTGTGTAGTATTTGCGGTCATGCAGAGCGCAGACACCACAATGGCAGGCGGCCCATTCTCCATTGCTATTTATTGCACACTCAGGGAGATCTTACAGGAAAAAGGCCCTTTATAGTGATGGGTCGAATTGAGAAGATCCGCTTTTGCCGTGACAATAACCACCATAAAATAATCCATTGTTTGCCCTTATTTATACATTGATTGGTGATGAAAAGTAAGGGTGATTTGCCTGCATAGGTTTGACCCCTTTGGTCCAGTTGAAGTTTATTCATAGACTACAAAATAAACCTGCACAACCGTTTTAGTCGAATCTGATCTGATGACACATAATGCATGTTTCTTTTTTCATATACGTCTCCATTCCATAAAGAGTGATTGTAAACAGACGGGAGATGTGCAAACTATAGAGGAGAGGGGGGGGAGATGGCATCGAGGGAGCAGAAAGAAAATGCTGAGGTGGTGAGAGTGTCTGGAGGCCGTGACATCTGCTGCTCATCTACGATGCAACTCACGCTAAAATACTCGCTGCACAACAACAACAAAGCATTTAAAAATAATTAGCATACCAAATGCAGGCAAACACGCATGTGCATGTGAAGTATTGTCTCTCAATGTAAAATGTTGAGAATAACAGTGAGAGGAACAGAATGAGAAACTGAACTGACACAGAGGAGGGACCAATGCAGGACATGCTAATGTATCCGCTGGCTAAACTCTCCCTTTGCACTACAAAGAATTGGATTGGTTAGTAAGTGGGCAAAATGAGAGGCGCCGTATATTTCTACAGAACAGCTTTCCTAAGATACTTTAAGTTATTTCGCCAGAAAAGCACTGTTTTGTTTTTAAATAAAGTAAGTTTAAAAAAACACGTACGTAAAACAAGCATTTCTTTCTGAGCTTTGTCAGCTTCCGTATTAGTTTACAGCAAAACAAAAGGACGCGCCTTGCAGGGCTGCAGCCATGTCAGCTACTGATATGGAGTCGTATCAGTTAGAAATATAAAGAGTTGATATCCGATTAGCCGCTGGAAGCCGATGACTTCCACGAGTTCCACTTCGCCAAACCTTCTCGGCCCGTCTTGCTTTGGCATTTCATTTTTCTGTTACATTTAATGGCCAATTTAGCAGCGTAAAAAATAAAATAAAGACAGTTTTAATCAGTCGGTAATAGTTTAACTGAGTGTGCAGACACACTGACAGACAGACAGACAGTAGGACACCCAAACACAGCGTGACCCCCCTCAGTGGCGTATAAAATATGAATGAGATCAACGTCTGGCGCTCAAATAGCCAGAAATATGTCTGCTTGGGGTTATTTTTTGGGGATAATTTAAATGTGGCAGTAAAAAGCTCAAAGGGGAAGGCTAAGCATTAACAGAACTGCGCACAAATACTCAAACGCACACGCACACACTTTTACTGACTTACTTTCTTTGTCCATATTTGCTCATTTCCTTTGCATGTTGTTATATTTCTGTGCGTGAGCGTCTGTGGGTGTGAGTGTGTGCGCTTTTTCCTGCCTCTGGCTCCACATCTGGAGGCCATTACCTCCTCGGCTGGGATCGTTGGGGGGGCGGGGGTGGAGGGGGTAGCTGGGCTGGCTGTGCAGTGAGGTCATCGCGTCGTCGCGGCGATGCAGAGGAACAATGATGCTGCTTGTCTGCAACGACGACCAACCCAACACAACTCACGCCAGAGTTAAGGGATTGGAGGGGGGGGGGGGGGGGGGGTGCAGTGCTTCAGGGGGGCGAGGAGGGGGTTAAAAAGTGGGGCGAACAAAAGCGAGGTAGAGAGGAAAGCAAATAGAAACATGTTCTAATAACAGAGGTAAGGTCGAAGTGAGGGGGGGTGTCCTGTTTAGTGGCAGCTAGATGTGAAGTCCAGTCCAGGCTGAGGTCCGACGGCTGCAGAGCTCAGCCTGGTTTCATAACATGAACTGTTTGTTACTGAGCCAAATAGGTGGTTTATGACTTTGCAATGAGAAAAAAACATATAAACATTATGTTCAGTTGGTTATCATCAAAGACGCAGCAAGTCCCAGCGTCCAAAGTCCCTTATTGGTATGTTGGCGGTGAACCCCAGTGAGCCTGTAGTGTGTTCAGCTGCTGCTGAAGAGGAGAAAATAACGACAAACTTATTTGTCACATGAGTGCAATCTGTTTGCATCATGGAAAACTCATTTAGAAACAAACACATTTGTTTTAAATGAAGCTTTTTTTTTTTAATAGTACAACAAGCAGAGCCTGTTTTGTTCAGGGGACATGAATCAAAAGTCAAATGAGAAACATTCCAACAAAGGAAATCTAACTTAAGGCCATTTCAGGCCAGTGCAACAATCTGTAAGGAGCACACAATAAAGTTGAGACATTAATGAATCAGATTTGTGCACTGCGAAATGCGTCACACGTTCACCAGCTAGTCGTTAACTCTGTGTGTGTCTGCTGTTTGGTGCTGAGCAGGAAGTGCTTTATCAGAGCTTTTTCCCTGAAAACAGCTGTTTGAGCTTAAAAACAAAACAAAACAAGGAGCTGGAAGACACCTAAACGCTCCACAGAGCGGAGGGGAATTACGAGCGACTCCTCTCACATACTGTGTGTTGTCATGTTGAACCGCCATGATTTACCCTGTCGGTATGCGGGAAAGGAATTGTACAAACACTTACTTCATAAAGGTAGAACATTTTTTTGAAATTCCAAAGCTGCTCTAAAAAGGGTCAAAAAGTCTGCTGATACGACACTTTCTTTTTTTGAGGCTTGAATGATCAAATCAGCTGGAACTGAAAAAACAACCTGGGTGTTGAAGTAAAACAAAATACAAATGATATACTTTATGTTCTAAAGATAACTTGTTATGGAATTCCTTTGAAGAACTTCACACTATTTGTTGCAGACTGAAAAAGTGGAAGAATTTAGAGAAGGAAATACATTTTTAATGCCACTAAAAAATGTCACATAAACAACAACTAACGGAAACTATCGATTTAATATGACTGAATATCTGGAAACAACCACTTGATTCCTTCTGGTTCATTCTCTCTCTCTCGCTGCCCTTCACAGGACAAAAGCTGTCCAGCTGCACTTATTTACTGTACACTTTATTTTCTCTCTCTTGGTGTAATGCAGAAGCTGCCGTGTGAGTGTGTGTTTGTGCGAGTGTGTGTTTTTTGTCTTTGTTACATGCTTCTGTATTCCCTAAAGAGTCGGCCACGACTGCTGCTGCCGTTTCTCCTTATAAGGACGTCTGCTCGAGGAAGGAGGGATGGAGAAAGAGGAGGACAGGAGGGACGTGAGGAAGAGGAAGAACAGAAAGTGTGAGGAAAAAGTCGGATGGGCAGGTGGGAGGACAGAGAGGAGCGGGAAGAGGAGGAGGAGGAGGAGGAGGAGTGGGAAGGAAGGGAGTCGGGGAGGAGACGAGGCGCAATGTAAAGAGAAAAGGAAAGGAGGAAGAGGAGTTCCAAGGAGTGACAGTTGAAGGATGTAGGAAGGGAAGAAGAGAAAGTGTTCTAAAGAAGAAAGAGCAGCAATGCAGCAAAGGAAGGAGATAATAAATGAATAGAGGCTGCAGGTGAAACCCAAGTGAACTTGGAGAGTTAAAGCAGGCAGAATTGGGACAGTTAACAGTGACCCATTTACACACACTTTTCTTTTGTGTGTGTGTGTGTCCTGTTTATAAAGCGCTGTTGTTGCGCTTTGCATTTAGAAAGATGTTCCATTGATGTTCCCCAATTCAGAGAGCGACACAATTACTATCTGGTTTTATTTAGCTTTTTTTCTCTCCATCCTTTTACTGATGTCTCTTCTATTGAATGAATGAGTGGCGCTGGAATAAATGCACGACCAGAGTGACCAGAAATAGAAGTGGAAGGAGCGTTTGTTTGTGACCTCTGTGAAGAAAGAGCTCAAATATCTCACGATGGGAAACCGATAAACACAAGTTGTGTCACTTTGACGGACGGCAAGGTTTCATTCGAGTTTCAAGTGGTCGTTTTCACTTCCTTCGATGTTCTTTGGTTGAGGAATGCTGTTTTTGACATTATTACTGTTTATTAGTGTTAGTTACTGAGGTAGCAGATTTCAGATTTTCAGTAATTTACCACTACAATTTGTGAAATTCAACAATAAAAACAAAGAAATAAAAGGGAAACCATTCTACAATTTAGTTTTTTTGGAGATGGGGCTCCTGCTTGAAGAGAAAAGAAGCGAACAACCACACTTAGTGATGTGATGGAGGTGTCTACGTATGTTGAGCATGTGATTTATCTAAAGTAAGGATGAATGCCTGTGTTCAGGCCACAGTGGTGGAAACACTAAAACTATTGGACTGAAGATAAAAAGCAAGAAGCCTCTAAGCTGTCAACGTTCACACGTTTCACACAGTCTCATCTCAGCGCCCAGAAGTGAGAAATGACTCCTCTGCTTCCCCTTTTCCTTCCTCTGATCCTTCATCTCTGCTCTTTCCTTTTCGCTCCCTCGTTCCCTTCCTCTACACCTCTCTCCTGCCCCCTTTTACCTTCATGCCATAACTTCTCTCCTTCCTCTGCTTCTCTCTCTCTCTCTCTCCCCCCTCCCACTCAGCTGCTCCTCCCAGCTGTTTAATCACACATTACTCATGCCTAAAAAATAAAAAAAAGGAAAGAAAGTTGAGGGGAGGGAGGGAGGGGACAAATGGGAGGAGAGAGCGAGAGGGTGAGCGTGAGGCACATGTCCAGTGAATGAGAGACCTTTGCTTCCCCTCGGAGTGAGCTCCTTCTCCCGCTGCCTCCTCGCTCGCTCCCCCGGCTGGATTACCGCTGAGGAAGGACCCTCGCCGCCCCCCCCCGGGATACTCCTCCTCTCCTCCCCTCACTCCTCAGCTGCCCTCCCCCTCTTACCGCCTCTCGTCCGTCTCTCGCCCAGGGGACCCCCCCGGTGCTCTCGGTCTTCCCGGATCTCACGTCTCTTTTCTCCTTTGCCCCCCTTCCCCTCCCCCCTCGTCCCCCCACCCTCTCCCCTTGTCCCCTGCTTCGCCCCCCTTCAGGATGTCGTGTGAGGAGGCTCAGCTCCACAAGGAGAGGCTGCAGGCCTTGGCGGTAAGTTTTTTATTTTTTTGTAAACTGTGTGCTTTGAGTGTGTGTTTGCTTTCCTGTGTCATTTTGGCCATCAGTACAATATCTGTGTGGCACCTCCTCCCTCCCTCCCTCCCTCCCTCCCTCTCTCTCTCTCTCTCTCTGTCTGTCTGTCTGTCTCTCTCTCGCTGTGAGTCTGTCTGTCTGTGTTTGTGAGTGTGTCTCTCTCTCTCTCTAGTCTTTTATGTTCCACAAAGAAGGGAAGAATAAGTGATCAGTGATTAGTTTGTCTCTTTGCCCCATAGCAGAGTTCAACTTTAAATTTATTCAAATTTATTGATTAAATGTGACTCAGTGATGCCCCCCCCCCCCCTCATCCCCGTGTGCCCCTCGCGCCCTCCGTGCCTCCCTTGCTCTTCCTGTCTGTTTTCACCTTCCTTCCATGCCTCTTTTTGGGTAATCTAAAAACTTCTTCTTCTTTCTTTGTTGTTGTTGTTGTCTGAGGTTTTTCAAGTGTCCGTGCTTCTCGGAGGCATCATGAGTCGGGTCCAGAAAGTGTTGGGATACTCGCCGCCATGTTTTGCGTTCACGGGGCCGTTTGGCGCAGCGGGTTTGGTGCGCAACTGACAGGACTTCAGAGCAGAACAGTTAGATCCGGACTCACCGGCTGGGACTAAATTTGGCGCCAGCGAGCAACCACAGCCGACCGCACGCGCTTTAGGATGCACAGGAACACGCACACACGCACATATTTGCACAAGTGGGCTGAGCAGCAGCAGCAGCAGCAGATGGAGAAGCTATTTTGGCCACGTCGAACCATGGCAGTCACACCAGGCTGCTTGCACTTACTCCAATTGAGGCACTGCAGTGAAGGAAGAGAGAGGAAGCCTTTCTGCTCCTCGCGTCATTCTAACTCATGTATTGGGACAAAACGCTGGTTTGAAAGCTGTTGTGAGGCTGCGCTCTCCGTTGCATCATTAGCACAATCGTGGGTCCGCCTGGAAGAGCTTCGGCGTGGCGACAAGTAAAAGTTCTGTCTCGCCTCAGCTCTGCGTGTGCGTGTGTGTGCGTGTGTGTGCGTGTGTGTGTGTGTGTGTGCGTGTGTGTGTGTGTGTGCGTGTGTGTGTGTGTGTGTGTGTGTGTGTGTGTGTGTGTGTGTGTGTGTGTGTGTGTGTGCGTATACACACAAGACAATAAGGGGCACTAATAGCCTTCAGGCCCAACGGGGCACTTAGTACTAACAACCCTGTGAGGCGGCTAAGCGCCCCGTAAGCCGCGGCCTCATCCAAACAGCACGGCTCCAGTGTAAATACAGAAGCAGAAGTTTTCCAGAGCACCTAGCGAGGAAGAGGAGTTATCTTTCAAAACGCTGTTCCACTGCCAATTATAAGCAAAAAAAACAAAAAAACACCGGATTAAAGTCTTTCGAACCCGGTTAATATGGTATTCCTCAGACGGTATGTGGGTCTGTTCCAAACAAGTAACCCCCCCCGTAGAGAGGTGTACAGTCACACACACATCATCTGTACTGTCTCGGCTCAGCCGATAATGATTTCATTAATAATTGATACTTGGAGATCATCTCATCAATACTTTAGCGGCTCTCGGCCCAAATTGGAAGCTTCCGCTACAATCAGGGCAGGTTGTTGGACCAGTCTGATGAACCTGATGAGTCGGATCAGAAGTAGCTTTCAGCTGCCGGAGCGTTATTGGAAACAGAGCCTGGCCGGTTTGCCGTGTGGCTCACGAGTAAAGCCGGGCCATAACGGCATAACTTAGCAAAAGGAGGGAGACGGATCAGTCCTCTTCACAATCGCTCAAAGCACATTATGAATTTACTTATCTAAATGAATTTAGTCCGTCCGTCCGCCTTGGGGTTTAATTCCTAACAACCGAAAGTGCAACGAACCCTGAGCACCGGCTTTCCGCTTCTGCGCGATTCATTTAAAAATGTTTTTTTTGCCTAAGATGGTTCTCCTTTGTGAGTTCTGTGAGAGTTTGTGCGTTACTCATTCAGTACGACGAAGGGTGGGACATGTGTTGCCGTTTTAATCTAAGAGTTGATAAGCCACTATGACCGTTTGTCCGCAACCCAGAGAAAGATTCCCACCGTCCGATTACGACCTCGTCAGTTGCCAGCGGCGCTGGTTTCCTTGGTTACTAATTGGCCAGATTAGGGAAGAGTTGTGATGTCATGTTGTTAAATCCAGACCTGTAATTGGTGTATTATTAACATGTAATTACAGCCGTTGGATGGAGTGCAGCTTGGTCAGGGTTCTCCCAAAAAAACAGATTATGTGCATGTCGTTGTGCGTTGTGTATGTTTATGTCCGTGTGTCTTCCAAAACTGTGTGCGAGTTCACCCTGTGTGTGGTTTTTGGGACCAGCCAATGGTGTGTTGCAGCTTTGTAATTAGCCGTTGCCCACGTCGCCTGCCCGATGCTAAACAGCGCGGCAAAACACAAAGACCAAAGTTTGTGTGCGTCTTTGCATGCGCTCATTCGGTGACTTCTCTGTAGCGTGTGTCACACGTATACATGGATGACCTCAGGCCTTTGGACTCTCCGCTAACCCTCCGAAACACACACACACACGCTCGTCCCACACAAGGCCACAGATTGTCTGCTGCCAAGTCTGTGGGGAATTAGGAAGTGGTGCATGAAGATTGATGTGTGTGTGTGTGTGTGTGTGTGTGTGTGTGTGTGTGTGTTGGAAATCCCAGCTGTTGACACTGGTAATAAGACAGAGACACATTTCAAGGGAAACAAAGATAACCTTTAGCTCAAGCGATACGCCTGTTGTTTATGGTTCTGCCCTTTTTCAACAATCAACGTACAGTTCGGAATAGTTTCAGAACCCACAGTTTGATCTCCTGGGGCGAACTGTGTGAAGTGATCTGTGTAGCTCAGGGTCGCTGTGGAAGCCGGTCTGACGAAGGGGCACTGTGAAGGTCAGAGGGGGGGTTGACCAAATACTGACCAAATACTCTCCACACTTTCTCTGTATTTGGGTCCCTGTCGCTGACCTGTGCTCATCCAAAACAGGTCAAACACAGCTCTCCCAGCCTTTCACCTTCTGTCATCTGCTTTTATTTGCAGCACTTTTATCTGCCAATACAGCAGATAAAGCGAATTGGAAAAAAACGTTGCAAGATGTTGCAAACTGTTTATTTGCACGCGATCAGCCATGTTCAACTTAAATCAGGCGCTTGCCTGTTACGGTCTCTGAAGAATCTTAAGTGAGACTAAACACAAACTTTCCAGCCCTGGATAATTGCAGCGGATTCACATCTTTCCCGCCTATACAACAGATGTTGGCCTTTTTATCTTTTGGAGCCTTTGTTTAGGTAACGCCTGATAAAAAGAAAAGCGCGGCCGGATTCAGCTTCGGATCGTCTCCTGTCTGCTCCATTAAGTATGAAAGTCTGCATATGCAGACGGCACGGCGACTCCGCCATTGGTTCATGATGAGCAATTCTAAAATCCCGTAGGCAGGAGTGGATCGGTGGCCGGTGGAGGTTTGGTTTATGGTCTTTAGCACTTTATGGGGGTGGGGAAATGTGCTCGCGGCAAAGTCATTCAAGGGGGGGGGCATGACCATGCCGGCTAAAATTAGCAGCAGCTGTCTTGGACCCACTGGACATTCGGCCGTGTGTGTGTGTGTGTGTGTGTGTGTGTGTGTGTGTGTGTGTGTGTGTGTGTGTGTGTGTGGCATTAGGGTTCACCGAGCCTGGGATGCAGCTCTAGCGCGCACTGCTGGTTTTGAGACAATTGTCGGGACATTTGAGTTACATTGGACGGTAAACATTGCGGAGCGACCGGGTCCAGAAACGGAGGGAATAGAGAGCAACGCGCTGCGGAGGTAACTTTAGCCGACGCGCCATTGTGCTCGCCCAGCCGACCGTTTGCGTTGGCGTACGTGCATGTGAATGCACGTACCCCACCCACCCTGGTCTCCTTCTCGATATGGACACGATGAGTATAGTCACCAGCTGCCGCTATCGCATGGCATTGGCGCGCGAGGCGTTCTAGCCATGTGCTACGTCTGCGTTCATCGACACTGCCCTTGGCTACGGGGTTACCGGGCCAACCGCCACGTTGCAACACATGCAAACTTGCATTGTCCCGGGAGGCCGTCGCAGCCGGTACGGTCCCGGGCAGAGATTCGCGCCGCGGGGTCTGCAGGTGTTTCGCTGTGACTACCGACTCATTTTCCACACCGTCACAGTGGATATTCTGTTTCAACACCACGTGCGTTACACTCTCAGTCTGTAGGTGGGTCCAGAATGATGCTGGATGGAAGACGATCCCCACGGCGACGTGTCTGTGCTGGGTGCGTCGGCGTGTGCGGAATGTGACACTCAATCTCCACCTCAGATGCGACATCGTTGCATCACTGTTTATAGTCACGCCCCTGTGACCTCATGCCGTGGGGCGGGGGAGCTTGTGCAAACATTTTAAAATAAAAAACACGTAATAAGTTTTTCAGTTTTATTGTTGTTTTAGCTTTTCATCTCCATTCCGGGTTTCTTAATTGAATGACTTGTTTCATCCTCTTTACTTTCTGGGAAACATTCCGGACGTTATTGGATGAATCCTCCTCTTAATCCTGGGTTTTGTTCAATGATTCATAGGCTGCATTCATACTGTTTCCTGCTTCCCCTCGGCTTTTTATTTTATTGTCCAGAAAACGAGGCCTTTTTCGGATATCTGGGGGGTCGGTATGTGAGCATGTGGCAACGATGCCTGAAAATGTGAGCGTCAGTCTGCTTAACAAGGAGAACTGTTGCACAATTTGTCAGGAATGAGAACATTAAACAAAGTGAAAAAAAACCCACCTCGAATAGCAAAAGGGTTGCGTTGGGACATCAGAATGTCTGTGGTGTGGACACCAACGAAGAAGAGTGAAGGTTCATCATACTGAAGTAGATACTGTGAGCTTTGACCCCCCTCTCCACTGCCAAAAATGTTTAACCTTGTAGGATGGAAGGTTACTAACCTCAACAACACACAACAACAACATGTGACAGTACAAAATCTCCAATGGGGCTATTGAACCTGGGATTTTATCTCGGGCGTCCAGCTTTTTGGATGGTGGCTGCATGAATGGGGAGAAGTAATGTACTCTGTGTGAGAGCCAAGCGGGGCCGAGCACGCAGTGAGTCAAGCATGTGGGAAGTGGCGAGTGTGTCGCCAAGAATGTCAGCATATTTCCCAGAGGAGGAGGGATGTGTTCTCTGCAGGGGGTGGTGGAGGGCTCGGGGTCTTTCTCCTGCCGATTCAGCAGGACAAGGCTTTCGGGGTTTTTTTTGCATTAACTCGGCAGTTTCAGTTGCAAACGCTGTTTTTGATCCCGTTCTCGCAGACAGAGAGGATACCTCCCTTTAATTCATTTCTGTTACCATTCAGATGTAATAGCCGAACTGCTCCATTACTTTTTCAGAGGAACTCGGTGACCCTTAAGGAGCCGAAGATTCCTCCACAGTTAAACTGAGTGGCAATAGAACTTAACTCAAGCTAACGTTTCTATTCGTTCTACGGGTAAAGTATGACAATGCAAGATATAATGCAAAGACATTGTTCCATTTTGATCTATTCTTCAAAAGGTACATTTCAATTTTGGCTTCAATCCAATATGAACATTACCGAAGCCGGAGGAGTCTGCAGTGTTTGATCGATCTGCATGGGCAGATTCCATATTTGAGATATGTGTACCGCTTGGAAATCTGAGAGCAAATGTGAGGAGGGAATTCCAAACTCTGAAGCACCACAGCACTGAATGAGCAGTAAAGTCCTGTATGATTAAGCATGTCGTTAACCTCTGACTACTTTCTGAGGCATGCTTTATGCTCGGGTGTGAAATGGAAAACATTTTCCTATGTAGCTGTGTCTTATGTTTACTTGTTTGCATTTGATTGGTTTTCACACTGTGCTGCAAGATGATGTTGCATTGTGCTGCATACAGACTGTGTCAGCCTTTTTTTTAATTTCATTTTTTTTTTCGCCCTTTGTTTGGTGTTTTTTCCACAGCCCTCTGCAGAGTGCACCCCCGCTGCTTAGCGTCATGTAATGAATGAGGAGTCTGTTCCGCACAGCTTTGTTCAATCTAAAGGTCCTTTTGGGCTGTTTAGCAACCACCAATATCAAATATTCATTTTGTTACAAAATGTTTTAAGCAATGATTTCCCATTCTTCAACACACTGATCTTGTCTTGAGAATATATCCGTGTCTACACTATCATTGTGTACATATATGTGTGTATTTGCGTGTATGTGTTTTGCCAATTCCTGGACCACGTGTCCTCAACAGTCCTTGACATCTGGGGACCATCCATACCTCTGCCAGTGATCTATGACTGTACTTCCCAAGCCATGGGAACTGCTGCTGCCGTGGGTGTGGGTGTACACACGTGTTGGTGTATGTGTGTGTGTGTGTGTGTGTGTGTGTGTGTGTGTGTGTGTGTGTGTGTGTGTGTGTGTGTTTGGGCGTGTAAGACAGAGAAAGAGGGATGATGTCAGTTTCTTTACAGTTTTAACAGCTGTGTGCATGTAGCATGTTTTTACTGATTTTCATTTTTTGTTGACAAATATTAATCAGGATGACATGGAGAAGGGGGGGGGGTATATAAACATACATAATGTATACATACTATTTATGAATGTGTGCATCATCAGAAAACTGCAGCCTGTAAAGCCTATTTACATTTACATTTTCACAGATTTGGTACCGAGATTTGGCATCTAATGACCCCTCTAGAATGAGAAATCGGAATTGCCACTTTTACGGTTCGGTTCGGTTTTGGCGACAACAGCAACGAGGCTGAAGGGATGCAAAGAGCAGCCAGATGGCGTCAAAGTCAGATGCTTCATAAGTCCGACCTTCCAACCCAACCTCATATCTATGGGCTACTTGCCACCCTCGTAACAATGTCACCCTGCTGGAGATCGAGCTAGAAAAATCCTTTAAACCAAGAGAAATGATGATTCTCCGGTTTTCTACCCTGGTTCCACCTTGATATTGTTTTCAGTTCTGCTTTCCTGTTCTATACTCTACTGTTTTACTCTCTTTTGAGGGTAGTCTTTTAATGTTAATACACATTTGGGGGTTTTCCCCGCTGGCTATATTTAGAAATGTCCCAGAAATCATTGCTGTGCTCCCACTGAGAGAGAGAAACCCGTCTACAGTATCTCATGCCCTTGAGCTCCGCGGCAGGCTTGTCCTGGGACCTGCTTTGTTTATATTCCCATGCATTTCCGTCGCAGCGCGTTCAAAGATCGTGCACTCCACATTGTCTCCGTCAGTTTGAAACCTCCCACTCGCCAAACATCAGCCTCATCCATCTCCACATGAAGCAAAGGGTTGTTCGCTCCACCTCCACCGTAATGCCACTTAGAGGCTTCAAGGCCTACCCCTCCCCTACGGGCCCTACTCAGTCCTCCATAAGCCCTGACCTCTGACCTTTCTGATACATCATTTCTTTTTTGCCTCCTCCCCCTGGATCCTTCTCCTCCTCGTCTTGGGGCACAGATGGAGTGAGTGCAATTCGCTGAGATAATTGTTGTCCGGTTGAAACCAGAGAAACGTAATCGGAAGAGGCTTCTGACATCGGCCCACCCAGCAGGCTAAACAAGACAGCATCAGTTTGAATCGAGCTAGACAGAACATACTGTACGAGAGGCCATCAGGTCTCCGCTCACCTTTTGAAATTGAGCGTATGAAAACTTGAGTTGGCCCCAAGGGGACGTTGTCTGGCCGATGGTGAGCATTAGCAATAAAAGTGTTTTATTGTTAATGCTCACCCTCGGCGTGCATTAGTGAACCAACATGCTCAATTTAGTTTCTTCCTCTTTTTTCACAGTCCGCCCATGCAAAAGGAATATAACGTTACTACAGACCGTCCGACATATGCTGACGGATCATTTGATTTTCTTTTTTTGTCTTTTAGGAGAAGCGAAAACGGCAAACTGAGATTGAAGACAAAAGAAGGCAGCTTGATGACCTGGTGCTACAAGTGCAGCATCTCAAGGTTTGTGTGCACGTGTGTGTGTGTGTGTGTGTTCCGAATTAAAGAATTATGAAAAGCTTATGGTAAGGAATGCATTATATCATCTCCAGGAGGATTAAGAATTGAGTTCAGCGTTACACTTGAATTTAGCACAATGACTGTAAGCAATTAATTCTGGGGTTACAGTATGAGTAAAACATGAGGGGGCATCTGCATCGGTCTGGTCTCTATTACCAGGGTAATTATCATACCGATGCAAAGACTCCATTGAATGGAATACACAAGCCAAGACACATTCCTCCTTCGTGATGTAGTGGCCTGTATATTCACATGGTTGCTGTTTGATGAACTCTGTAAATGTCCCGGCTACTCTACGTGGGAGATAAGAGAAGACGCATTGTTCCAGATTTGATGTTCCAGTTAGTTTAAGGTCAGCTATTGAGTTTAGGGGGAGATGAGAATGGGTTCAGGTTCGGGTTAGAAGCTTGCTAAGGGACGGACGTAGTTGCTCACAGGTGTGTGTGCGTGTGTGTGTCAGTTATTTGTCTCTCCTTATCCAATCAATCCCCTTTTTTTTTTTTTTTCCTCATGATAGCTCTTGCCTTGACCAGAAATGTCATCGAGATAAAGAGACGGAGCGTGCTCTCAAAGATATGTCATGTGCCTCCCTTTGCAGTCCGTCTCCGTGGCTGCACGTACAGTTCGTGCATGTGTTTGACAGCCTCTGTGCAGGATTACATCTGGAAGTCAGACTCTGGCTGACAGGTGACGCGTCAATTCCGTCGTACAGTAGTATCCAAAAGCTCAGTGCTCCTGGTGTGAGAGCTTCCTTCGGCCTAGTGGGGAAGGCTTGGGTGTTTGTGAGGTTGTGAGTTTGAAGATTTGGTCCCTTGACCTCGAGCCCGAGCTCAGAAAATCACATGACCCGACCTGTCAGGTGGAGACACACCAGATATGCGCTTCACATACATTCACGTCTTCTGCTCAAGAAGTTTGTGAACTTTGATCTTCTGTCCGTCCCGTCATATTTATAGAGCGCTCGCGCGAGTAAATGTGAGTTGCCCTTTTTCCGCATATGTTCCACAGTAGCGAGCTGAGAGAAGTAGTTCAGGAGAGACATGCCGGGTGGGTTGGAAAGCGGCAGCGGGTCCCCGTAATACGTGCGGTAGCCAGTTTTAATATTTGCAATAAAACTGCATTCCGTTCTGTAATTAGAGCCTTTAAACACACTTCAGGGCGTGAATGACTCCTCTATTTAATGAGTTTGATTCCTACACGCCGGTGCTTTCCACCATTTAACACCCACTTATGGAAATATCGGCAAAAGAGAAACGATGATTAAAGCCATGCGCACAGCGTGTATCTGGCGTGCAACCATCAAGGAGGGTTAAGCTGTTGGACCCGGGTTCCATCACCCTCTCCAGGAGGGGCCCAACTGTGAAACACGGATTCAAACTACTCCGCTTCACTCGTTAGGTTGGTGTAACCGAGTAACTGGTAATGTAATATTGCATCAGTAGATATCTATGACTTTGACATTTCCATACGTGTCTGTGGACGTGTTTTATTCTGCTATTTCTTCTCTTCATGGCCCTAATGTAGGTTACTCTGCATTGGAAGTAATGTCTGAACAAAAAATATATATGTGTTGTTGGTAATTAATCCAAAAGTATTCCAACCCTTTACTGAGGTGCACCGATAATACTCCACAAACAAGGTGAATAATATATAATTAAGTTACAACCTTACTTCAGTAATACGTTATGTTACAATAACAGCAACATGTAGGCTGCTTGAACCAAAAGTATTCAATGTCCAGTCAAATATTCCCCTTTGCTGCTTTTAAGATAAGACTTGTCTGGCTTCATATAACAGCTGCTTTAATGTGTCGGCCTCTGTTTCATTTTACGGCTGTGTGTTTAAAGTATTCTTCATTACATTACAGTCTAACTCCTTCACAAGACAGCCATGCGCCATTTACTACAAGATCATCATATTTACTATAAGATCATTATATTTACTGTAAGATCATCATATTTACTATAAGATCATCATACGTTCGGAGCATATTTGTCACGTGAGAACCATGTACCTAATATGACTTTTCACAGGTCCAGTAAATGCAGGTCTGTGAGGCTTTTTGAATACATACATAAAGGAACATTTGTCAGGCAGTTAATCAAAAAGCTTAAAAATATTTCCCTGAAAAGCTTAAAGGTTTTCCCTGGTGAAACCATTCTCAGACCGATTTAGTTCAGTTAAAAAAACAAAGTCAAAGTTGAAATTAGGCACAAAAGTAAAAATAAAAAGCTTTTCTGTTTGCTGTTTTAAACCCTTTGATGCCTTTATTGGTTAGCTGGCACGAGGGAGATACCAGGAAGCGAAGATGCTCTACCATCCATTGACCCCTCGACCCCCTCATACACAACAACAACAACCTTGAACTCCAGATGTAATCAGCATCTGGACACACAGTCCCATTTCATGGCCACTGCCTCTGAGTGCCACGCGGCCGGGCAGCATGAAGCCGGCTTTGTAGTCTTCTCTCTGGAGACCCGGTGGCCTGGGAGAGGAAATGGAGGCTGGAGCCGGGAGATTCGATAAGAACCCCTCGGCTACAGGATTTCAAGCCTTTGCAGAATGGAAGCGTTGATCTGAGTCTGGGACCATGTAAACATCGCCATGGTTTGAGACTTAAGGCGCTTTCTGTGTCTCCTCGGTGATTTGGGTCATGGGTGATTTTTGGTTGATTTGATGCTTTAACTGTAAAAATAAATCAGATGAATAGCATAGATCCTCTATGCACCCCCCCGCCCCCCCCGATCCTTCCCTTGAAACGTTTCCAGCTCAAAGTAGTTGTGTGTTAAAGTTCACCAGGAAATGGAAAGTGTATTAACCAGCGTGAGAGGAGCAGAGAGAGCTGCTTCTCAAGGAAACAACTGTTTAATTATTCAACACGCTGCTTTCTTCACTGTATAAATGATCCACAAAGCCTTTATTTACCCTCCTTTGTGCAGTAGCACCTTACTGTGATCAAATGATAAAATCCCACGGGCGGGGTCAGGGGTCAAGGTCGGCTACAGGCCGGCATGCTCCTCGGGTCGAATGATGTTTTCTTTGCCCCACGTACGAGAAGAAGAAGTCTAGTTTGCTCTTTCAAAATGTTTTTTCTAACCGACAAAATGAGTGACGCACAACAACAACATATGTGTGGTTTTCTTGGCCTTGTAGGTGTGTAGCAGCCACAAACAAACAAACAAACCCGGCTTCCACATTCCGACAGCAGGTGGTGAAATGCTTTGGAATCATTTCCAGGGTGTCTGTGTGTGTGTGTGTGTGTGTGTGTGTGTGTGTGTGTGTGTGTGTGTGTGTGTGTGTGTGTGTGTGTGTGTGTGTGTACTGTTAATCCAGCCGAGCAGCAACAGTTTGACAGCAAGCAGCCGAAGGTGAAGCTAAGTGATGCGTTGTGGAAACAAAACCCGGGGCTGCAGACGGAGACGAGACATTAGAGACACAAACACGCCGCTCGTTCGTCTTCCAGACATTAAATGAAAAGCGGCTGCTTCCACCTCGGCCTTTATCGCACCCTGAGGTCGACAAATGTGTGTGCCGGCGATCGCTGCAGCGCTGCCTCAAGTGTTTTCCTCTGAGGAAAATGCTAAAACCGTTAAAAACTTTTACGCTCGCGTGGGCCGACGTGTTTGTTTTCGTCTAGTGTGTAGAAGCCGTGCAGTGAGGCCCTCTGGCTGGTAATGACGTCACCGGGGGTCGGCAGAGGGAAGCGTGGCGAGAGGAGCGTCGCGGTGCTGCTGTGGATCTGTGCGTCCCGTAACGCTTCTCTGTTCCCCCCCCTCAGTCCAAGGCCACGCGCGAGCGATGGCTGCTCCAGGGAATCGGGGAATCGGAGGAAGAGGAGGTGCGGCGGAAGCAGCTGGAGCGGGACGAAGAACAAGGCAAGAAGCTGGAAGACGTCATACATCGGTACGCTAACGGACGCCACCGTGACACATCTGGTTTTTGTTGCTACACATCTGCTTCTCTCTCTCCGGCGCCGCGTGGCCTTTGTTATATTTCCCAATTTTTACAAATTAGAAATACTACACAAATGCGCCACATTTGACACAAGATGGCTCTGCCGCCATATCAAACCACAGCAGCATCAAACGCACACTCACACACACTGTAATGGGAGAAGTATCGGAGGTGTGGGATGATCTGGCCGTTTGGAAACCTTACAGCTAAATGTCTACTTTCCTCTCGTGCGGCGGTGTGAAAACAAACACCAAGAGACGACTGCGCGCCGCGAACTCCTCTCTTCTCTAAAGAAAAACCGGCATGCCGAGCTGGACGCGCAATGGAGACGGAGAAAGGGGAGAGGAAGGACAGGGAAAGAAAGACACAAGTGAAAGCAGGGCGTCATTGGAGGAGGAGGAACATTAAGGAAAGGTGAAGGGGGAAAAAGTTGCAGTGGTTCCGTGGGCTCTTCCTGCGTTTGTGTCTCTGGGAGGAGCTTCCTGATTCGGATCCAGCAGCCATTCCTCATTTCCCAGTCAAGTTCGGCATGAGATCACCATCCTCATGAGAAAACAAAAGCTTGCAGCTCAGCTCGCGCAGCCCGGGCTGCACTGTGACATTTTAGACTTTTAGGAGCCGTTTCAAATGAAACCAAAGTGAATCATTTTACATGTAACTATTGGTCCTCTGAGTTGTGTTATTCCCTTGTGTGTTTTATAGCAGGAGCAGAGCCCAAATTGGCGCACAGTGCAAAAAAAAGTGACACCGAAGACTGTCACGGAAAGGATGGCAGACAGTTTAGGCAGCGATGCAGATTTATTATTTCACAATTCACCCATTCTAGCAACGGAGGTCAAAATTCAGCTGGAGGGGAGGTTTCAAACGTCCGGAAGAAAGAGTCCCTGTTAGCCAGCAGCTACTGCAGCTTATCACAGGCCCCCGGGATAACATCAACATCAACATCACAGACGTGGTCAGTGAACACCGGGATCACGTGGGCATTGAATGCTCAAAGGGGGAGCGTTGTGCACGCGAGTACAGTCGGGATCGTGGAGCCGCTTCACGTGAATCGCTTCATTCAGCCGCGGTTGAATAGAGTCGCTGTCTGGTGCTCTTTTTCCGAGCGGGAGAAACGCTAGTTTGTGGTTTCGAGTTCTTACAAAAGCAATTAAAACGGAAAAGACGACCGGATAGCCAACAGAACAAGGCCGTACTCTGCTTTTGTCCATTTCGGGACGGCAGCAGAAAACCAAGTGAAGTAAAACTAAACTTCTTTAAAAAAGCAGAAAGCAAAGTAGAACTAGCACAATGAAGTGAAGCTGCAGTGTGCACAACCGTGAAACCATCCATCATAGAAAATACCTGACTGTCCCTGTGTGCACGTGTTCTAGTTCCTCTCCTCCACAGACCCAAAGTTCAGCGAGGACCCGTTAACCTGGCACTTGTGTACACAAGCAGTGCAGCAGCAGCCATTGTGAGATGCGTCCTGTTAAACGGCTTTAAGAGGAGCTCAGCTGTCTGGGAGTAAATTCCACAGGCTTTCAGAAAATAGTCTCTCCCCGGCGAGTCCCAGAGCGCATGAGTGGGAGTCTAAGCAGGGCCTTTCCGTCACGCAAATCCTAAACCATGAGGACGTTTCAACAAAGCAGATTTACACACATTACCTTAAACCACCCGTCTGGGGAGGGAGAACTGTCTTTGGACTAAAGAATAACATGTTTTTCCTTTGGGTGTCGTGGTGTGAAGGCAGTTGATTAGTTCTGTTAGGATGATGAGACACTGATAGACAGTGTCCGTGTGCGTGTGTGTGTGTGTGTGTGAGTGTGTGTGTGTTTCAGGCAGAGGGTGTGCCATCTATATTTACATTCTGTGGACAACATCCTAAAATATCCCACAACCAAGGGGACCAGATACTTTCCAATACCGATAGCAGCAGTGGCGGATAGACGGGACAAATATGGACACATTATCTGTGTGTGTCCTTGTGTGTACGTGTCTGTGTGTGTGTGTGTACATGAGAGAGAAAGAAAGACGGAGACTAAAGCGGGCGGCTACTGTTTGCAAGGTCAAAGTGACGACAGACCATCACGCTTAGTCACACACAGAAGATCCAAACTTTACTACAATCATGTGTAGAACCTGGATTTACATATATATATATATATATATATATATATATATATCCCAACTATCCCATTCTCCAGCTATACAGGTCTGAAATAGAATCCTCTGCCTTGTCCCTAAACGCAGAGAGTCCCAGGCATCTTGTCCATGTGCATTTAATTGCTGCTTGACTAATAACATGTGCTCCGGTGGACATTTTAATGACTGAAAGTGACAAAGACGAGGCAGCAGCTTTTATGGATGCTTGTTTCTCTTCACGCACTGCGGGACACATGAGAAAAGGAAGCAAAGAGGAGAAACAGCTGTGTGTGTACACGGAGAACAACTGGGCTTTCAGTGCATGAAGGAAAATCATGAGAAAAAGTACACACAGAGAAAAGCATAACTGTTGTGGATTCAGACCTAAATGATCATGCAACCCGGGAAAACAAAGACCGGAGGACAACGGCGTGTCTTTGTGTGGTGTTCAGCAGTAAGTGGATCCTGCTGGTGTAATTAAACTGGAAATTGCAAACAGTGAAACCATTGAACATTTCCTATACGTACCTCAGGCAGCACGTGCGGAAAAAATGAAAAAGTTTGGAAATGAAGGCCGTCGGCGAGGTGGTTGCAGCCCCGACTCGGGGCGGAACACACAAAGCCATGAAGGAAAAATGAAGATGGCTTCCTTACTTACTCTGCGGATCCCGAGAGAACAAACGGGCATTAGAGGGACTGAATGTGGCGGTTTTACAGATATCCCTCTCATTAACAGCGAGAGAGGGACGCGGCGGCCAAAAGGCCCTCTTGCAGCGCGCCGCTGAGCCGGACACGTGGCCGCGCCGCTTCGGGACGGCGGCTCGCTGCGTGCGGATGTGGCCGCCGTTGCAGGGGAGCGCTGTGGTTTTTATATTCGGGAAGACGAGTTTTCGTCTGGTCTTTTTTCCGGGAAATGTCAGATAATTCAAAACATACAGGTTTTTAATTAGTAGATTTCTTTTTTTTAAATGAAAAAGGCCACTGAAACTGTTTTGTTGCTGTTTTTCGGTAGTAACTAGTAATTGGTTACCAGATGAGAGAACCTCCGCTTTAAACGGTGCTGCAGAAGACAAATGGAGTTTTGGGAGAAGGCTGCAGGAGGAGTCTGGCAACAGCAAACTTATACTTATTGCAACAAAACCGCTGAAGTGCCCCGTATCGCGTTACATAACGTTCTAAGAATATTTGTCTTTGTTCCCCAGCAGGAGAACACAGAGTCTTTATCTGACCGGGGAAAATGAAGAAAGTGTGAGGCAGTTTTCATTTCTGAGCTTATCGCCAATCATCACCAGGGCAAATTCCTCTACGTGTAACACATTTGGCAATAAATGGCTTTTCTGATTCTGAATTTTAGCTTGAGCTGAAAGTAACTAACTGCCGAGAAAACACGGGACGGGAGGGAAAAGTGGATTGAAGAGCTCAAGATGTCTGCTGTAGATAAAATGAGATCCAACGCAGCCTCCTGTGAGTTTTGAAAGCTCTCCAAGTCCCGGTCTCCAATGGACTTGTAGCAATAACGCACTCGGTTCATGTTCCCCATCTCCTGCATTCAACATTATGTATCATGTTGTCAAAACAAATCATTCCGGGCCTCTCGTGTATACAGAGGAATAGAAAGGTACTCATTCACGGCCGTTTACTGAAGACACAAATGTCTCGTTATCCCCTGAGCAGACGCCATTGTTCTGGCCTTTGTTATTCTGGATTCTTTGGGTTAGGGTCATGCAGAGCCAGACATAAGAATACTGTTACCAACATTTTGTGCTAGAAAAAAAGCTAGTTAAAGAAATGACAAACAAGCTCTTCTGTTAATCGGACACTGGTTCATAATGATACAGCTCTATTGAATGTGTTATTATTAACATTTTCACTATAAGAAGTGGATACGATAACAGGGGTGAGAAATAACAAAGGACTTCCTCCGTGTGGTCAGTAAGTGCTCACATCAAATTATGAGCATATCAAGTCATGGACCTTCTGCTGTACTGTAATCATCACTTTACTAATATTGTAGGCACATGTCGTCTGTACTGTGTGTGTGTGTGTGTGTGTATTGATACAGTATCTATTCTGCAGTCATGTTGACTAAAGCACCGCACGTCATTTACCGTGTGGGTGTGAATTTTTCTTTTTTTTTAACCTAGGTCAGTAAATCGTCAACAAAAGTAGGACGGAACAAAGATCAGTATTCACTCCTAATGTGCTTTTATGCTGAGGCTCAACACAGGAAGAAGCTGACTAATACATGACAGCAAATGTTATAAATGTCCCCTGCGTCAATGTGCCCGTGTGTATTAGAGGACAGATCATGATCCACTTTTTAATCACTAACGTTTAGTGAAGTGTCCTAATGGAGTTTTTTCAGCGAGGACTTTTTTAAGATGTTGGCAAATAATGGAGCGGCCAGTTGTTGCCGTTTTGTTACTCGGCTTTTGACGTGGCTCATTGAGCTGTTATGGATTCACGAAGGTGTTTGCGGTTGGATGTGGAGACCAGCGATGGTCTACAGATCCTCACAGTTTTTATTTGCAAACACTAATGACTTTGCCTCAGCAAAACGTTGGAAAACAATGAGCAACATCGCAGGTTGTTTTTGTCAAAAATCACCAGGCTAAAACACTTTACCCTCCCATTCGGCCTTTATGAGCATCGTTAAAACATTTAACATATGGTTTATAGCTCAGTTGTATTTATCAACAGCTATAACACCTTCATCAGGACTTTTACATCATGTTTGATATAAATGAAATCCTATCTGACTATGATGTCATTCATTATGTGTCGATCCACCAACCCACAGGAGTTGTTGAAAAGTACTTTATTAAACATTTAAATGTGCTCACAACTAAATCCTACAACTGCTATATCAATATTGTATTTATTATCGTAGTTTAAATTGCTGTTGAAGCTGTATATATTGCAAATACACAGGGGGGTGGAGGGGGCAGAGAATGAGTGAGCCAAAATTGAACTGCCCTAGATGTCACCTCATGGGCTGCTTGGGAATACTAAGGCTCCCTGACTCCGCCCACTGATCTCCACCTCAGCCAATCAAATGTTTTCATTCCCCAAACTGCTCAGAATCTTGAAGGTCGCAAAGACAACCTCCAGGTGAAACACGGTACCTACAAAGCTCCCACCACACACACACACACACACACACACACACACACAGAAAACCAGAGGTCTGCTTTTCCTCTTTTGTGTGTGAGGTGGAAAGCAGATGCTGCCCACCCGGGCGTATCCATGGCAACTTGCCTGCGGTTGGCTGACAGGGCGGGACGGTGACATCACTGGTCTCTTTTAGGACTGCCACAGAAGATAGCGAGGTACGAGGGGAGGCAGCGGAGGGGAAGGAGTGACGGTGGGAGGGCGGGGCCCGAATTCCCTCGCTCACGCACACGCATACAAGTAAAGCATAACCCATTCTGCAATACAGAAAAACTGAGAAATATCAGGTTTTTATATATGCGGACTGTGTGGTATTCAATGATCCATGTACTTGCGTGCTCTAAAAGAGGCATTGGACTCCTATGTGGAATATAAGTGTAAACTTTAACGTAACATCTAGTGATAAATAGGGCGGTTAATACTTCCTTCCTTGAAGAATTCACTCCTAATAAGGTTGTATAGATTGGGAGCGATAGGAAACAATGCATGGACCATGTCGGGTCTGGTTTTCTGTGCTTGGGTCACTAGAGGGCGCCAGACACAAACATCACCGGTGCCAGTACATTTCTCTTTGCTCGGAGGTAAAAACTGATGCTGTATCACAGACAGACTATGCGACTCTACGGTGTTTGTTTTTTAATTGAACGTGGAAGAAAGAGGATTAAAATTAAATCAAAAAAGGCTTTCTGATTAGACAATATCTCCTAGCGTTATAACAAATGACAAAACTTTGAATGTCTCTCCAAATGAGCCTGTGAGGATGCTCATCATAAAGCGGGACATGAAGTTGCAGTGGTGTAATGGGATTAGAAACCTGCGTCCTCCTCCGGTCACATTCTCTTTCGTTTTGGCAGCTCACAGGATGCAGAAGTAAAATCCATTTCCCGCCAGAAAGGGGGGAGGAAATGAGACGGGGAGAAGTGGGGGGGGGGAGTTAAGCGTTGAGCCGCATGCTTCAAAATGAAAAGATAGAAGTCAGGGTCAAACAAGACGGAGGGCTTCTTTAAATCTGGGGCCCGGTGGACACAGTCACTGCCGATGTACAGTGTGTTTAGAGAAACGTTTCATGTTCACTTGGCTGCAGGCTGCTTTTGTTGAGTCTGGCGGTTGACTTCCAGATGGCACTTTGGTTTGTCTTTGTGAAGCTGTGAAGCTGCTCCTCCTCCTCCATCCTATTTGCCAGGATTACAGCTGCAAAGTGGGATGGTTTGACCCCACCAACTGTATGCGAAGTATGAAGTACTAATCTTATTTCATAGTCAGTACAAGCACAGCACAGATTGATTTACTGGACACAAACCTCTGATAATTCTTAGCAGAGCAAGCTAACTTTCTCAGTAAAGGGTCATTAAATTCAGATTACCCATGAGTCATATTTCTGTTTGCTCACCTTTTATTACCTCCGGCCTGTTTCCTATCTCTGCTACTATCCTGATAAGAGTCGGTAGATTCTTGTTTATTACTTGTAGCATCAACACAATCATTGCCATATGTAAAGAAGGACACCTTATATTCAGAAAGGATGATGATGCATTAAGTGTGTTGCTTCCGATCACTTCTTCCCAACGTCATGCCAATGCGAGAAATTCTTGTCCGAGTCAGTCTACAAATATTTCATGATTCACATTGTGGTGCAGTCCCAGCAGCTCGATTCAAAGTTGGGCGATGGTTTAAAATACCTGCAAGGCTAGAGTTGAATACAGCATGGCTGTCTGGAATTACTGTATTTATAAATAACCACTGTCCCAAATCTGTCAAGACTAAAATACACTCCGATATTACCTTGGAGGAAATACTGTAAAGGTATTGGCTAAGAGGGCTGACGCTAGTTGTTTTCTGTATCACGGTGGAGATACATTTTACACCTTAAGACCCGCTGCAATATGCAATGGACATGAACGTTTTTCTAACGAAGGATAACGGGCATTTTTGGCGTAACAAGATGCAATACAGTGTTGTGAGTAGAGCCCCTTGAATTACGTGATTTACAGTAAGAGGACCCTGAACTGTGCTGATTACTCTGATCCAGACAATGGCTCCAGGGCGCAGCTCCACAAGGCCAATGCCACGATAAGAAACTATTTTTTGTTCAGTCTTTCCATGCCAGCAGGAATTTCTCATCAAAACTAGTGCACAATAACATTCCGCGAAGGTAAACAACAGACAGACGTGTGACAGATGCAGCCAACTAAAGCTGTTGTTGCGTAGCGCGGGAACGCTGCGCCGCAGCTTCTGCTGCGTGCATGCACGCCGCCCTGCTGCAGCCGGGCCTCTCTTACAAAAGGAGACCTGGAAGATCGGTACTTACGGCCTTCACGAAGCTTTGAAAGAGCAGAAGCTGAAGACGAACTCGAGTGAGATCACTGGGATGAGTGTGGAAACTGTGAGCCTTTTTGTTTAGTTAAACTTCGGCGATTGGAGCTGAAGCTCCAGGGTTCTCTGGCGAACGTTGAATACACAATCTTTTGATTTTGTCAGGAGCAACGAATCCAAGAAATATGGCCCCTGGTACTCGTTGATGTTTTTTGAAAACTCAACATATATATATATATATATATATGGTCCGGTGATGAGTGGGGCTTATCGATCCTCTCTCACGGTGGGAAGAGCGCCCACTTGTTACAAAGCTTAATATCTTTGTAACTCACAAACACTGACGCACAAATTCCTCGCGTCCCGGCGGAGTGCATTCTCAAGTATTGTGAGTGCTGGCAGCGAGCGAGGAAGCAAACCCCCTCCCGCTCCTCCCGGTCCTCCTCCCTGGCTGCTTCCTAGAATTGTTGCCACATCCATGCATGCCTTAAATGTCCATGCAGCGTGCATGTTTGCGTGCATGTGTTTGTGCGTTCGTAAGTCGGGTTTGGGTGCAGTTTTAGGAATGGAGGTGATGTCTTGAGACCGGCAATGAAAAGAGACATTCAGTGGACTCGTTGTAACTTTCCTACTGGTAGGAAATCGGGCCGAATCCCACCAGATGTAATTCAGAAACTGAGGGTCAGCAATTTGAGATCCACAAAATAGAAGCCAATCCTGGGACTTAGCTCAGTGTTGATGTGTCTAATTAGTAAGAGTGAATGCAATGTGATTATTATATTTATTGGGAAGCAATCTATTTCTAACAGCTCTCTAAAAACACTTTACATTCTTTTTTTTTAATACGTTTCTAATATTAGCTTTCATGGACAATATAATGAAAGGTAATGTCCCGGCGTATTCTTTGTGCTTGCAGGCTGGAGAGTGAAATCGGCACCCTGGAGAGCGAGGAGTCTCAGATAGCGGCTAAAGAGCAGGTTCTACGGGCTCGCCTGAAGGAGACGGAGCGCTCGATAGAAGACCTGCAGAAGGTGCCGGGACCCGGACACTTTGAGAAGCTTTTACGAACATGTTGTGTCTGCCTCTATAGTTACGAATGAATGGCCTTGAAAATGGTATGCTGACAGTAAAAGCATTAACTGCTCCGACTGGTTGGTACTGACGTTACAGTTGTGCAGTCACCGGTCCGTCCTCACAGGGATTCTTTTCAATTCTTCTCATCTGTTATCGGTTCCTTGTTTGACTAATTGCATTTCTTTTTTAACCGCATTCATTTCTTTTGTAGAAGCCAATAAAAAGCAGTGCTGCTAATTAAAAACACATGTTAGCCAGAAACAACTTGGATGAATTAACTTTGTGTTTACAAAACGGAGCAGTCAAACACTGATAACTTGGAAGTCGACCTGATGCAAACATTGAAGGGGCCAGCACTGAAACAGCCTTCAACTGTGATTCTTTTTCAAAAGCTGTACCAATTGTCCTGCCATGGCTCATATAGATCTTTTTTTTCTTCCTGTCTGTCCTTCAGAGTCTGATGACCCACGATAGAGGTATGACACACACACACACACACACACACACACACACACAAAACACACACACAAAGGAAACGCACTAACACGGATGATGCGTCTCTGAGTTATAGTGGTTTCCGAGCAGTGGGGTTGCTCTCTTTTCATTTCTGTGCGTGCGTGCGTGCGTGCGTGTGTGTGATGGGGGTGTGTGTGTGCGTGTGTGTGTGATGGGGGTGGGGGGGGGGGGGATAATAGTCTCGCTGAGGCAGGAGGGATGCCGGCCAGAGACGCGCTCCTGAACCCCCAAACACTCGGCCGTACATACAGACTCACCCATAGACATGTATATACTTGCACACAAACACACACACACACACATGCACCCTAAAAGGGCACATACGCACGCGGCCCAGCGCGACTATAGAAGCTCACATACACACACAGACACACACACAGACACACAAGGCCATGACTCTGCAGCCTGCAGTCGCTGGCTTCATCCCTCCTATTCACCAACAAGCCCCCTAAAGCCCCTAAAGCTTTGTCTCTGCAATCACTCACAAACACACACACACACACACACACACCTACACACACTTCTGGTGCATAAGCACTGAACCTCAGGGGTGCTACAGTTGCCGTGGCCGCTGAAATAGAGATGGGGGAAGTTAGATGGTGTGCGTGTGTGTGGGGTGTGGTTAGTTTTTCCCCGAACGGGGGGGGTGGGCTTTACGTATGTGAGTATTTGTTTCGGGGTGTGGCTACACATCGCTGAGGTGTGTGTTTGTGGCCCTCACGGCCTCTAACGCCCCGACCCCCCCCCCGATCATGTGTCATTTCCCCCCCTTTGCTCCTGCTCACTAGATGCCTCCGGCTGCATGTCCGCCCCGCTCTCGGACTGCACGGACCCCGATCCTGACCACGCCGCCTTGGCCCAGCAGCCCAGGACCGGCCCACCTGACATACCAAGACCTGGTAAGACAGAGGGAGGGAGGGAGGGCAAGAGAGAGTGAGGGAGGGAGGGAGGACCAGAAGATTTTGGGCCGCAGCCAAGTCGGATTATGACCAGGACAAGCTCACACGCACATGGAGGGTGGACGGACATGGACACTCACACATTTGCACTACTGACGTCAGATCTGGTATGGAAAGCAGTCTCATAGAGACACAATATAGATACAGAAAAGGCACACGATTGGTATTTGAATCAACTTTGGAGAATGTGTCTTGGCTCTTTGTTAACTTTTTCTACACAACTCAGACTGGAGAATCAAAAACATCAATTTGCATTACTTTTTGTCTCCCTATTAGTCTCCATTTATTTATTTTGTTGTAGACCACTTTATTTGAGTAGAATTACTTTTCTACATCAACACACTAGATTAGTTGTTTTTAGCTTTGGTTTTGATCCGTTATTCTATGAATAGGAATAAACCCCCCAAAAATGTTGTCTTTGGAAATCTGTTCGTACCCCATTGGTTCTTTCATTGTATACAGTGTTGCTGACTTTGCAGTGGGGAATAGCTCTACAAAATAAAAGCACAGCTTTAGGGGCGCTCTGCAAAATGGACTGTATTACTGCAGAAGCAAATGTAAAGAGTCCTTTGTCGAGAGGACAAAAGATGAAATATTATATAGTCAATCTTTAAGGAAGGCAATTACTGTAAAGTAGCTGTCACTTATAACTCCGCTCAGGGCTTCTCAGGGAAAGTTCGATATTCTAATTTGAGCCTTGTGCTCACTTACTGTACCTGTAGTTTGCAGGTCAAAGATAATAAAATCAGCGTTTTTTTTCATTTACTAATTACACACAAAGCAGTTTGACTAACAAACTCAAATTGCAGCTGCAGTTTATCAGAGAACGCTGTGTCCCAAACCTCACGCTTCACCCCCTCCACTCCCCCATCCCACTACCTCTACTGGTTCCACGCCATCCATTCACCCTTCAACCCCCCCCCCCCCCCCCACCTCCCCTCTCCCCTTTGCATCTACCCCCCCTCCCAACCCTCCCCTCCTAACAGCAATGTTTGCCATGGAGATCAACGTGGAGCACGACCCGCGGACCGGCGAGCAGCGCATCCTCTCCTCCAACCGCGTGAGCCCGCTGGACGCGGCGGCGCGCGGCATCAAAGTCTACGACGACGGCAGGAAGGTGGTCTACGAGGTCACGTCCTCCGGGGGCGTGTCCACCAGCACCTTGGAGAACGGTTGGAGCTCCGCGCAGGTCGACCAGCTGGTCCAGCGAGCCAGACCTGCCGCGCAGGCCGGGGACGGCGGCAAGGCTCAGGTGACGGTGACCCCGGCGGCCCCGCAGGCCTACGTCTCCCCAGAGGACGTCGATGATCTGTCTCCGCCCTCCTGCGCCCCGCCGTCCGTTCCTTCGAGCCCCCCAGGCCAGGTGGTCCTCCAGCGGGAGGCCCGGCTTGGCATGATGCCCCCGTCTGCTCCCATCACCACGCAGCCGGGCACCTCAGCCCGCCCAGGCGGCGAGCTCGACACCCCGACGCAGGCCAGCGCAGAGCACCCGGTCACCATGGTGTTCCTCGGCTACCACGACGTCGATGACATGAGCGAGAGCAGGCGGCTGCTCGGCTTCGACGGCGCCGTGAAGGCCGAGGTGGTGCTGATCGACGAGGACGACGAGAAGTCGCTGAGGGAGAAGACGGTCACCGACATGTCCATCATCGACGGCACAGCGGCCCGACCTCGTGTCGGGGCGGCCGGCCACGTCCGAGGGCGCCAGCACGGAACTGTCATCCGACGGCCGCGAGCCCGACAGCGCCTCTCTCGCCCCCCGCCGACCCCGACGCCAACCCGCCCCCCCCGCCCGGCCTCACCCCCGCCACAGGTACAGACAAGAGGAAACGCTGCGAGTGCTGCATCCTCATGTGACTTCTTCTCCCGCTACCACCCCTTTATTATTACCCACAACACCCCTCTCCTCTCTGTCTGGATGGCTACTAACAGAAGCCCCGCCTTTCTCCTCCTCCTCCTCCTCCTCCTCCTCTGGACTCTGATCGACAGACACATACACACTCTTGACTGACCTTACCTTATGACCTCCACATCGCTGCTGTTTCGTTTCTCTCTCGGTCACCACGGAGGCTCCGCCTCTGCGCCTCCCGTCTCCCCTGACGACACATGGTTTATATCATCCCCTCGGAATTAGACTGGGATTCGGCTGTTGTTCCGCTGCCATATTGATTAACAGACGAACCGATGGGGACGAACAGCTTAGCCGGGTAATAAATCCAACTAAACTCCGTGGTCAATAAGAGACAATGCCATGCTGTCTAACCAAGCGGTGTGTTTGGACAGCCACATCATTGCCTTTTAATAAGCCCAGTGTATAAGACATTAAAATAAGACAGCAACAGTCTTAATAATCAGTCACTTCCGACTTCCTTTTCTCGATTCTCTCCTGTTGTCTCCAAACCTTCACAGACGCACCACCAACCAAAAACTCAAACCAACCCCCCCACTCCCCCCTGCACCGACTGTCCCTGACTAGGGCGGAGAGCAGGGTACTCGTTGCCTTGGTTTCTTCATGTGCCTCTTCATTCTTCCTCATTGATAGTCCTAACAAAACCGTAGAGATGGTTAGAAGTTGCTATTAGGCTTTTCGTTTCAGTTTGCCGTTGTGATCTGAACTTTTTATCTATTTATTTTCTTGAAATTGAAAAGACCATTGAATTCTTGGGACGGCGGTTTCCACGGAAAACTGTTTTTTTTTTACATTGTAGTTAGTGGTGACGAAACAACAAAATCTCTCTCTCTTTCTCTCTCTGTCATCTTGTCCCTTAACTCCAGCTATTCCACTGCTGAGGCCATTTCCTCCTATTCTACTAATCCCAAACCCAACAGCCAGTAAGAAGCAGTGGAACACCTTTTGGCAGCCAGTAGGATGTATACAGCCAACGTTTCCAGTGTGTCTAACAGGCCATGGAGCACGGGAAGCAAACGGCAGCTTAATGAGCTCACTGGCACGTATGAAAAACAAACACAGGGTAACTACCACTAACAGCAGCCAAACATATCTGCAAGCAATAACATTACTACACGTTTACGGGAGCTTTTTGTCAAATAAGCTTTCAGAGAGAGATTGTGTCCGATTGCCGTTTAATCTTTCTGGCCATTAAATTCCCTTTGTGAGACGGAGAACACTGCCAGCTCATGCTGTCGTCACCAACCGGGCCCTCGTTTACAAGGGTGCTGCAGTCAATGTGGCCTGGGTGTCATTACAACATTGTGTATATTACACTCCTCCTCATTTATCTTGGCTGTTTAGACATAAGTAATCTCACTCATTCCGTTTGAATAATGACGGCTGCTCTGGGAGGAAATCTGCCCGATTTCAAGTGTCTTTGATGTTAAATGGTCGCGAGACGAGGAAGATGCTCGATCGTGCATCTAAGGAATTGATTTTGAGGAGAGTTGGGGAGCTCACTTCTGCGTTGTACCTTGCAGAAGAAATCCCCGTTGTTAGAGAGAGGATCAATAAAGTGACACGGGCCAGAAAGGTGATGGAAGAAGAAACGTTTACAGGAGAGGCTGGAGAAGCCGTTCGGATTCATCACGACGGGATTGGGTGACGTTTGTGTGGCATTCAGGTGTTTTTCATGGGCCGAGACGTCCCTGGCTCAAATCCACCCTGGGTCCCAATATCAAAATGGTTTATTCACAGCGCCAAGACAACAAACGACAGCCAACACGTCGCTAATCGTCACCTGAGGAGACTTTTCTTTTTTCTTTTTCAGAGTGCGGTACCATTTCTTTCCTTCTCTCTCCAGCCAATGCGATTGACAGTTTTACTGGCCTTGGACATTTTGTAAAGAACATATTTCTATGCAGTGTGTACGAACTATGACAACACTCATGAAAAGAATGAAAGAATGACACGATATTCCTTTGGCAACGTGCAGCATATTTCCAGCATTGAAAGGTTTATGGGTGAATCAGTGCTCTCCTTACACGGCTCTGTGCTCAGCTGCATCTCACTTCCAACTGTCCTGTCCTACTATGCTCCCGTGTGATTGGCCGACCGCCGCTGTCGGTCAGTGCAGCTTGCTGTGTGATAGGCCGCCAACAGACCCCACCCACGGCAGAGAGGGGGGGGGCTCGTTTCCTGTGTAGATACAGAATGTAAATACGCTCTATATTCTATTTAGTGACAATTTCATTTTCCACATCTGTATAGAGATCTAGAGGAAATTCGGATTATTATAGGCACATTACTCTGAAGTCCTGGGATGCCACATAACGACTGTGTGACCGCACAAATGCTTGTTTGTATATTTTCATTCTCTTTAACTTCACTGCTTTGCTGTGTGTACTCTCACAATTAACGGCCACACAACTTGTCCCCCTCTTCTGACCACCAACAACAACAACAACTGTGAACTCTTTCCGGCTGCTACCACTCCACCGGAGCGGTTTGTCCACAAAGGCATCCCAGGATCTTTACGCGTTGTGCAGAGGCGGGATCTCGAGTAGCCGTACCATTGGATCTGCATGGTAGCCCATTAACCACCAACTATCACATTTTTTTCTTCGCCTTTTTACCAAAGCATGATGCACATTTTTACCCTTTACGCACTTTTTCCCTCTAGGCAACCATTGGTTTCCATAGATTTGGGTTAAATATAATACTATTTGACTTGATTTGCTTGGGGCAGGAAATTACACTTCATCAAAGATAATAATTCCTGAAATTAATTTGGAAAAATCCTTTATTAAAAAATATATACAAAATATATACTTGTTTGAATTCAACACAACAGATCCCCATGAGGTATCGCGGGGGGGGCACAGAGATGGTTTATCCGAGCAGTTCATTGCTGTTCATCGCCGTCATAAAGTTCATCTCCAAACTGCAGGCCCTGTGCAGCCTGGAGACAAATACAAAATCGTCCCGCTCAGTGTCCCAAAACTGCCAAAACGTATTCTTTGCATGACTGTTAGGAATTAAAGATTGAGGAGGCGATGCAGATGAGTGTATTCTCAGAGGTGAAATGTTATTTTTTCTGCCAGGTGTAATGCACACACATATGACGTTGGTGCCCACAGTATGAAAAACACAATCCCAATATCAAAACCCATTGAAACAACATAAAAAGAAACAGCGGAGTTCTGGTTAATGGAGCCCGACCAACCCAGTTAGCCTGTGTGGATTTGTGTGCGCGTGTTTTTGATGTAATGCAAGAAGCTGCAGGTGAACAACAGACTAGTTGAGTTTACCAGCCCCACTGCCACGCCTGCAGTACTTCTCTGAACCTGTAGGGGTCGCCCTCATGGTTGTTTGGACTGTTAAAACAAAAAAAGAGCCATTTTCTATTGTTCACACCTCTGTCGCTCTCTCTCTCTCTCTTCTTTTAAGGGTACGACCACTCAGTCTATTACATTCTCTCTCTCTCTCTCTGATGTCTGTATCCTCTCTCTATCTTTGGTCAATAAAGCTGAGTTTCTCCAGTTGCTCCCCTGCCGTCTCCTGCTTGTTGTTCTTTCCATCTGTCTCTAACATTCACTTTTTCGTTGGCTGCTGACAAAGGGAACACAAGCTGTGCTATCTCTCCTAATACCTCCCCGCCACTAACAAAACACACACACACGCAATCACTCAGGTAAGGTTATCAATGTGTGTGTTTGTGGTTGCATCGCACCCACAAATGAGGGTCAGCTCACACAACTTTGTGTCGTACAGTTTATGGCATAATAAATCATAATAAATACAACACAAGACTCATGTGCAAAGCCAAAGCCCCCGTCAGAGCGGGTTGGATATTACATAATTGCTGTTGAGAGAACTTTCAAAAGATGGTCCACTGCTAAATGCAACCCGTCTGCTCTTGCTAAAAGTATAAAACCCCCAAATAAAGGCCCTCTTTCAGCACGACTAGCCATTGCTCATGAGAAATTGCTCCATTGCATCATCCTGCGTCTGTGGGATCTTACGAGTTCACACACTTAGGAGTGTGAGGACCTGAATGGGCAGCTGGTGCTTAAGGAAGAGAAGTGGGTAGATGGGTTGCTTAAAAACCTGGTACAGCTGGATGAGTCTAGATACACCCGTGCAGCGCCCGTACCAGGGCGCCCCCCCTGGTATCAGTGTAAGGTATTGAAGGAAATCATTTCACTGCATGCTCACTCGTCTAATACCACACAGCCATGAACCGAGAAGGACGCCGAAGAACACCAGAGGCGTGCACGTGAGACTCACGCGCCGCGGGGACACGGAGGTGCCCACAGCCGTGTTCAAGGACACTTTCGAGGATAAAATGCACAAATGATACGCACATGATGTGTGTACGGTACACTATATAGGACATCAGCGTCCTCTGAGGCAGATAGCAGCTGTACAATCTGTTGTTGTTGTTTGTCCTAGATGACAAACTGGCTGCCATTAGTTCCATTAAAAATAAAAAAAACACACACACACATGATCTGGTGAGAGCAGCGACACAAACATGACACACACTTCCCCAGAGGACATATTACCAGGTAATACATTATTATATTACAGACGTCACAACAACCAGCGTCTGAGAACAGGACTAACGGACACACATGTGCAGACACACACTCTCTTCCGGCACAGAGGATGGGTGTGTTTTCCGGGATAGTAACCACAAATACATTTATCTTTACACGATAATTTACACGGTGCACATCACGTACACACAAACACACACATGCATACAACACACACACACAGTAAGCACGCGTCATATCTTTGTGATTCGGACTCGGACAGATCAGTGTCACGTGCACCTGACGTAGTCCAAAGGAGGTGGAGTAGTCGGTCAGGGTTGAGTGATGCAGCGTACGCTGTGCACGATTTGTGGTTTCCATCCCGTCAGTTCAACTTTACATACAGACAACCAGAAGCTGCATATAAATCAAGAAGAAAAGTAGTAGAGGGTTTTAGAGGTGGTGAATTAAGATGCTGCTGAGAAAATGGGTGAATTATTATTGATCCTGAATAACGACACCTTATTTTTAATGTTTTAAAACACTACTACAGCTGCTGCTGATGAAAATACGGCTACTACTACAGCCACTTCCACTTCTACTAATACTAATACTAAAGCTATGGCAAATATTGACGCTTCTATACCTACCACCTGGTGGTGTAACATTTATTCAGATTATTTCAAAGCAATAACACATGTTAATACAATTTAAAGATAGGTATTATAAGAAAACATATTATTATGCAAAAAGTCCTGTTTCTTAATGCTGTATTGTATGTATACCGCATTAAGGCAGCATTGGCATTTTAATGCTGGGTGGTTTAGTCAAAATAATTAATATAATGGGACATAAAGTACAATATTTGGCCTTGATATATAGCATACAGTAACAAAATGACAATACAGAAGCAAATAACAGACACCTTAGTACAGTATTGGATGAGCAAATGCACTGTCCTTGGGCTCTACTACCACTGTAGCAGCGTTTCTTGGGTGATGTCCATTATTAAGCTACAGACACATGGATTTTGATGTTTTTACAGTAGCAGGATTACATGTTCCATCCGGTCGGGTTTTCATGAAACTCTAAAAACAAGATAAAAGACCCAAAAGGTTGAGAAACTTGTGAAAATGAATATGAAAGGATAAGATGATTACCAATCATGACAGCGGTTTCAGTAACTCAAATCTTCTTTCGTCATAGGTTACGACCCAACAGCGGTTGCCGTGACACCAGCCAATGGGTATGAAGCTCCCCTGTCGACCAGGCATGCTCACACCGCCATGGTGAGTAGTCTGTAAACGTGTGAGCTTGTCTCTTATGTACATGTGATGGTGCCATTCTTAAAAGTACGGTAGGAAGAAAAAAAGATGGCTGTGGTTTCAATTTAATGTGGTACTGAAATACCAGTTTTATTCAACCATGAAATGTAACGAGTTTATTGGGACCAAATAACTCCCTTACAATACATTTTGTTTTCTAGAATTTGCATATATTGATTTAAGGATGTTTCGGCTACAATATAATATGCTACAATATTTTCTATAAATATTGATGTGCAGAAATGTGGTTTTACTCTTCCACAACCACGTGGCAAACGCGTGAAAAGAGAATAAACAGACTGTTATTCACGTGGAGTCTTTAGGTCACATTATCACGTGGCGTTAACGGTCCACTGGCTCGCTGTTCTAGAACAGTCAAAAAAACCCAAAAATGTCTCCCTGAGCACATATGACTGAGGGAAGCCGAGAGGAAACAGAGAGGTGGAGGAGAATGGAGGTGGAGGAGGAGGAGGAGGGGGGCAGCTGAATAAATGAATGAAAGGCAGTACGGGCCCGTAACCTGATCCGTCCCAGTCACCCGCTTTGTGTGCTGCTGGCGCCGCGGAGGACAGCGAGGACGAGAAGGGGAGAAGGAGAGAAGGAGAGAGGAGACAGTGGGGGAGGAAACCAACGCTCGTTGGGGAAAAGCTCGCGCGTGGAATAAAGAGAGAGAGAGAGAGAGCGAGAGAGAGAGAGAGAGAGAGAGAGAGAGAGACAGAGAGAGACCGACAGGCAGCTCGATGTCCTGCGCGCGGCGGCCGTTACCGTTATTACTGCTGCGGAGCGCGGGCCGCCATCAGCTCCTCCTGCTCCCGGTGTCTTTCTAACAGCCTCCGTCGGACCACACGTTTTTATTTATTCCCTTCGTTTCCCCGCGTTGAGGAAGGACTACCGGGACCACCGGGAGAACCGACTCCGGGGAACTTAACGCCTCGCGCCGTTACAAGTTACTCCCGGTCGTTGTTCCCGGTCGTTGTTCGGCCGTCGCGGAGCTCCGGGGGGATCCGCGCCTCGCTGCCGCACTCCTCCCCCCACACAGGTAGATGGAATTGACTAAAGTAACGCTTAAGAACGTCGTATGAGTGTGATTTTAATTTAACGTCGGAGAGCGACGCGCCAAACGAGGGGGGTTGTGGGTAAAAGTGAAGCGTTCAAGTTTACAAGTGATCAGTTAGGGCTCCATTCGGCTTCTGTTTGTCCTTTTCATCAAAGAGTTTACAACAGCAGCAATTACACTGATTGGCTTTAAAGTCGCGAGGACACGGGACACTGTCCAGTTATGTCCTGAGAGACAGAGAGACACAGAGAGAGAGAGAGAGAGAGCTCCAAACCAGGTTAATGGAGCAGACCACTTGCTGCAGTTGTCTCTGTGTATATTTCCGTCTCTGTTGGCTCCTCCTCCTCCTCTGCATCACTTTAACCTACATATCGAAATGACCTTAACCTGTTTTTCGTCCTCCACGCACACAATGACTCTGCAGAGACAGACTACAGATCATGCATGGAGGCGCTGTGCTGCATGTTAATGTCCTCATCAAATAACACAGGTTTTTTTTTGCAATTTATTTACATTGATTCTGTCCGGTTTGGTTGCCCGACCCTCTTGGGAAAAACCTCCTAGGAAGCCTCAGCACAGGGGTCAAGCGGCTGCGCGCACAGTTTCAGCCCCGCTCCCAACGTCCCAAAATCCCTCATCACTTATTACATACGCAGGACGGCACCTTCAGAGGCGTGGAGGGTACGAGGTGTCACGAATGTGTTTTCGAATCTTTCGTGTGTGACCGCTAATCTGCAAAAACGCATACTCACGCAGTCAAACCGACTCTCCTTGACCCCGTTTGCCCACCAAATCCAATCATGCTGATTGATTTCACTTTGCCGCGAGTGCAGCTGACCGGCACTTTATGAAAGGGGGGCAGAAATCGAACGTGTCTCTGTGAATATTCTCTTGGTTGCTTCGTAAAGAGACAGCTGTTTAATCTTGGACTTGACAGCTTTTGTTTATTTTGCACAACAACAGCAGTGCCAAGAAGAAATGCAAAGAAGCCAGCATGGAAGCATCCTTGCTGGCTTCTTTTCAACCATCATGGCTCATTAAAGAGGAGGGAGGGGCGGGACAATGTGTCTCTTTTTACGTCTATTTTTATGAACGTCTACAAATCTGCATCACTAAAAGAAGCGCCGATGGGGATTCTGGTCCGATTTGACCGGTAACATTCACAATTGAGGGTCGAACAAAGTGTGTTTCCGCGCTTTGTTCAGAATGGCTCCTCACCCGCCGCAATCTGTTTACTGTTTTGTTGGGTCATCATTCAGAATCACCAGCTGCTTCTGGAAACTACACAGCGAAGCAGCAAACTGCCAGCTCAGACGCAGTGTTTGCCAATAACCCGGAGCCAGCGCACCATTTGATTAGATAGTCGACGACAGGAAGTACCTGCCACATACTTAATGTCCCATTGTGTGTGTGTGTGTGTCATGGGGAAGTACGTTTTCCGTCCCCACCCCTCCCAGCACCGTGGACTGTGAGAACATTGACAGGAATAACACACTTATCAACGATGTCTTCTTCCTACAGACCTCTCCCATTTCCCGGAATGCACACACACACACACACACACACACCTAAACGCACAAACATAATCACAGAGGTTACATAAAAGATGTGCCTCGGTTCGGTGAGCCTCGAGTGCGCAGGAAGTGTTAAATGGGAGTGAGGTACGGGATGAGAGAGGCCGACGATAAGAAACAATGAGTTCAAGGAGAAACGAAGGGCGCTGCAGGTGTGTGTGTGTGTGTGTGTGTGTCAGGGCTAGGTGGAGCGATGGATGTGAGGCGAGGGGAGGAGGGTGCTAAGCAGGAAGCCTGTTCAGCCCAGAACAGCTCCAAGGGCTGTTGACATTAACCAGGCAGCGGGCTTCCCGAGCTGTTGAAGGGCCTCCTCCTCCGCCCGCTCATTAGAGTTAAATCAGCGCAGTTCAGATGGACACCGAGGTCACGGACACACGCGCGAGTGCGGTTCGAGCTTTCGTGTCGCGGGACCTCGCTGGTTAACAGATGTAACGGGTGTCCCATCAGCTGACGATCAGTGATACAGCACGTGAATGTGAAGGAAGGACAACTTTTAGCTTTAGGGTGGCGCATCATTGGAAATCATGTGAGGGGCCCCCTCACCCCCCCCCAGGCCGGCTATGACACCGGGCCTTGAGACGCAGCATTTTCAACAAAGCCTCCTTGTGTGAAGTGGCCCGGGATTTATAAAAAGCTCTTTGGGCTGTGAAGGACACTTTTTCTATTTTTTTTTTTTTTTCCCACGGGAATGGATGGCAGCTTAAAATAATGACGGGGCACAAGAATGTGTGTCTGTGTGTGTGTGTGTGTGTGTGTGTGTGTGTGTGTGCGTGTCCACTTGAGTTCGGCAGTTTTTTTTGATAAAGCCATAAAAGTCACCTTGACACCGCCAGAAGAGAAGAAGAGGCCCTTTTCACAAATATTAATCTCAAACTGTTAAAAGTTTGCGTTCTTGTCAGAGGGAAGAGAAAATACACAGCAACAGCTGCTGTGATTGGCTGTCCAATCAGCGGTGGCTTTGGTAACGTCTGACAATGGCACCGAATTGCGATCTTGTTGCAATTATCGTTGATCAGGAGAGGAGGCAGATGTTGACTACGTGGCCACTTGGCACAGAAGCTTCTGTAGAGCCGTCCACTGGTCACGTGACTCAAATGATGACATCAATGTGGAGCTGTGTTGTAACCATCCATTCTGGGTCGGGCATAACGTCCTCATTCATTCTGCCTACTAAGCAAAACTATTTGTTTTGATGTGTCTTCCACAAGGGAACACGTGCTTTTTTATTTTTTTGTCCTTTGAAAATGACGACGAAAGAAAGAACAACCCTGAATTAAGCACTCAACAAAGGTCGCATTCCATATTCCAAGTGTTTGGTTCATTGGTTTTCCAGAGAGGAAGAGAACCGAGGGATGCAGGAAACGTAACAATACAACCCCCCCCCCCCCCTCCCCTCTCCTCCCTCAACCACCCCCCCGCCCGCCACGTGACAGCACCCCCACCGCCCACTATTGTCTGCGCCACCCGACCGACTATGTGTCGCGCTGTGCAACCCGAGTCATTCATCTGCCACGGGGTGAACGCCGCTCGTACAGCAGAGCCAATGCGGCGCAGGAACAGGACGTTATGAAGACGGGACATTCCTACCTTTTAAAACTGCCAAAATGAATTGGCTTGCACCACAAGAATCCTGTTTGCACAATATATTAAAAAAAGGAACGGTTTGATCAAATACTGCAGCAGATTCCGGGGAGTCGGGAGGGAGGCTGACCTCCGATGGGCTCTGGTGGTGAGAGGCTGCAGAGGTCTCTTTATCTCATTCCAGCTTTGGACTGGAATGTCAGATCGGTACTTGGCCAGGTGTTACTGTGGGGGGGGGGGGTTCTCCTTTGGAGAGCCCAGCGGAGCCTCGGACCAACGCGATCGACGCGTCATCGCAAATTGGTTCCGCGGAATGTGCGTACCGGAATCTGAGGGGAGTTTTTATTTGAAGGTGACCTCTATGATTCTGGTCGACGAAGGTGCACCAGGGGGGGTAACGGTGTGAGGGTTAAGCGCTGGAGCTGAAACAACTCAATACCTAGAATGACTTTGCTCGTCGTTCCGTCATTTGGATGATGTCCACTTTAGGGAATTTACCGGTGGGAGGTGGCGGTGGGGGGGGTGAAGCAGCAGACGGGAACAAATTGATTTTAAAGCTCGCCGGCAGGTCATGTCGTCCCGAACTCTCTCTGGTTTGCTATGTTTGCTTCGTAAGAACACATGAACATCTCTGTTTTCACTCAAGAGGGTTGGCTTACTTCAACCCGGCGCAAAGCAGCCGCGATGGGAAAACCGCTCTAAGTAAACTGGGTAGCTCTCCAGCTCGGGCGTGTTTACCGTCACCGGGGCTG